ATGAAATATTATTAATATTCACATGAACGTGTATAGAAAGAATAATCGATGCAAAAACATAAATCTACAAGGTTTTCATTTATTGTTTTTCTATTTAGTCTTAATTAAATTTTACACAATTCAACATATATTTTGTCTAGAGTGATAATAGTAAATGGAATCCGGTTCATTTAAAGATAACAGACGGATTTCATTCTGCTTGATTCAATGGTAAATTAAAGCTCAAAGATAAACATGTTCTAAATTTCTTTCTTCGAGTTAAAGGTTGGAAACGGTCAAAAAGACCTTAACCAGTTAATTGTATAAAAATTTTTTATTTAATTATTTATGTGTCAAAAAATTTAATATTAAACCAAAAATTTCACAATTATAATAAGAAGTAATTTAAAATTTAATAATGCCTATGAATAACACGTACATGTATATACTATTAAAATTTTCTATATGTTGTTTGACAAAATTTCTTTAAATAATAGACAATTCTTATGTCTACTCATTATAAATCAACTGTTATATTATCTTTCAATAAACTATTATGTTTTTTAAATATAATAATAATAATAGATTAATGACACTAAAGCAATATATGACAATTATAGTGATGTTGGCCGGTAGAAAAATCTTATCCGGTTAAGAACTTAAATAAAATCTCAGTTGATGAAAAAACTTTTCAGATGGTATTAAGCTTGTCAATATTACTACTACTAATACTATCGTTAATATTATTATTACTATTATTTACTATTGTTATTATAATATCCTGCCTTTAATGTTTTAATTAAGGTTTATTCAAATTATTTGCTTTATTCGTTATGGATTTGAGATGATTCAAATAATTCAAATAAAACGAATAATTCCAATAAAACGAATAATTCGAATTAAAATAAGAATTTGTATTACGAATAGAAACTCTAACTATGACTTTTATCCTGCTATGATGTATTGTATTTCGATTTTTGAGAAAATATATGCTTTCTTGTCGTTCCAAGTAAAGCAGTTGACCCATCTCAATTAAATGTCTATGCCACTGAATCCTCCACGGAAATTCCAGGCATAAAATGAATATTAAGAGAAATTTTTTTTAGTCGGCTAAGCCGTTTAAAATTTCTTAGCTGTCTAAACTGTGTAAGCCGTCTAAGCCGGCTAACATTACTAGATAATTATGGTGATAATATACTAAATGTTTCAAAGACTTTAATAGGTAGTAAATCAATTTAGTTGTATTTCACTTTTACTCACAATTCTCTCACAATTAGCCACAATGTGAATGTGGCTTTATTCCATTCGCTGAAACAAATTTTTACAATTAAATTGAGACATTTTGCCAGCTAACTGGTTAACCGGTTCCAACTCTACTTTGGGTTACATCTTATGAAAATCTAAAACGATGTTTTTTCAAATTTCTGTTGATTTTAATGGCTTCCCATTCGAATAAGGTTCATTCGAGTTAATTGTATTATTCGCTATGAATTTGGGTATTCAAATTACATTGAAAGTTTATTCGAATAAATCGAATAACTCGAATTAACTGTTAAGATTGAGTTGTATTACGAATAATTAGAATTACGAATAGAAACTCTACAATTTCAATTTTTGATTGGTTCTTCGATTTTTGAAAATATCTGCCACAACAGATTTTGTCAATTTGAATCCAATTATGATAAACTGTTGCATTCACTCAACAAAATCGTCCATATTTGGAGAAACACAATCTCCATCATTTGAATTTGGATAATATAGAATTATCAAGGAAGCTTGTAACACCAAATTATTAACATCTATACTATGATGTTAGCCGTTTAAAAATCCTTAGCCGGCTAAGCCGTTTACCACCTAAATTGGTAAATTTATTTCTATAACCAGAAAGTAATGCGGAAATCCATCACCAAATTTAGAAATTATATATGTAGATTATTAACTGGTTAACATGGTAACCATTATAGTTGTTCTTAATAAATGATTGTCACCATATCTGTAATTCCATAATTAGTTTTTCATAGTTGCTATAATTAACTTTAATAGTTGCCAATATTATCTCTGCAATTATTTGAGCTCTTTAAGTCAAATGGAATATTAATGCATAGTTATATAGATGCTGCCCAAATTAAAAATCAATCCCTAATTGCTTTGTACATCCCAAATGTACAAATCCCAAATGTTGATCAATCTTTCTGCCCCGCTTTCCTAACCAATAAGAATACAGTGTAACAAAAGGGTTGCTGATCACTTTCACAAATCCTAGGAACTTATTGGTTGGGAGATAGAATGCCATGGGTGTACAAAGTAGTTGGGATTTGGATTTCTTTGACAGGCTAGCCCAAATTCACTTTGTACATTTGGGATGCCATAATCGCAAATGATTTGGGGATTGGGCAGCATGTATAAATAGTTATTTTATGTCCATTCATATAAAGAATACTGAAAATCTGTAATTACTGCCATAATCACTTTTCCCCAAAAACAATTATGGAAATCAACTATATTTTCCATAGCTCCAGAATTCAGGGTAAATTAATATTGCTCTGGCAATTGATTGTGATTTCCAACCAGTCTTTGACTGGACTTGCATTTCCTATTGTGTCTTCAAACAAAATTGTTGGTCTTGGAGGGAAAGGTGCAAAGTATACATGCAGCCCAAATTGGTTTGGTGATTTCGATGGTCAAAATTATTCCAGTTTTGATGGTAGAAAGTAGAAATTAATTATGGCACTCACTATTAAAAACATAAGTGTAACACTCCTTTATGACAGTGTCAAAATGCATTGAGTGCAAAGTTTTTATTAAGTGTAAGATCCATGATTCCTTCAAGGTTTCCTTTTGATTTTTTTGGTGCCAACCCTATTAAGGTTTCTGGCCGAAAATCTCTTTATTAGTAGCTGAAATTGCTGAAACACTTTGGGCAAAAATTACTTTTGTTATTAGCTGAAATTGGGCAAAATTATTTTAAAGTTGTTTAAGTTAAAATAAGTTGATTGGTATAATTTTTTAATGTTCTTGTTTATAAAAAATACTAAGAAGCCCAAATTGCCCAAACTAGTTTGGGCTTTGAGAAAACAGTTTGGACTGGAAACCTTAAACCTAAAAAAATGGAACGATCATTTCCTTTTAAGGGAAGATCGAAGCCCATGGATTCCTAAAATATTTTCGTGTAACTTTGGACGCGTTTTGGTTTGCATTACTGGTATTATTATTTATACTATTTCCAATAGCGGAATTAATAACAACATTATTATTGTTATCAACGTTATGGATGTTGTTATTATTGATGTTAATAAATAATATTGTTATTATTGATAGTGATATTGACGTCATTTCTAAATTTAGTTCAATCAAGGTATCATCTGTTTTCCCGAACTGTAAAAGAAACCGTTGCGCAAGATATCTAGATAAAATCACTTTTTCTTCCGTGATGAGAAAAATGACGAGCTCCATCGAGATAAAATTCACACCAAGTCGGATTGCGTGTAATAAGGCATTTGCCTTTCCATAATTTTGAATAACCCACTTTGCTCGAATTCTTGATTTGCACGACATTCCGTACCATTTTTTATCGAGTAAAATTAGGGAAAGAGGTTTAGGTGTGAGTATGAAAATATTTTCTTTTATCGCATCTGGTAATGAAGCCATAATTTGCTTATTTTAACATTTTTTTTTTTTTTTTGAAGCATCGTTGTTGTGCCTTGCTTGAATCCTTTACTATTATATACAAATTTTTTTTTAAATTATTTAAAATGATTGACAAATTAGGCATCGGAATATTTTCTTTGATGGCTTACTTTTTTTAGAAAAACATAAATTTTGTTTAACATTGTACAACAATTGTACAAAAATATAACTCAGTGACTCAAAATCGCCGAGTATAATTCAATTGAATTTACGAGATTAAGAGAAAACGATATGTCTGTTGTTGAAAAATTTATTGTTATTAATATTTAATACACAAAAAAAAAAAAAAAATATAATAATATTAAACCTTCGAGTTTTCATTTTATTGTTTTTCTATTTAGTCTTAATTAATTTTATCACAATTCAAAACATATTTGTCTACAATAATAGTACTAAATGGAATCCGGTTCATTAAAGACAACCGATGTGAGTTCATGAGTGTAACTTTACATATTTGAAGTATTCTTTTCAATGGTAATTATTTTTTATCTTTCTAATTGAAAAAAATTTTTTTTTGAAAAGTCAAGCACAGCTTTTATTATGTAATTCTTTATTTTTACTGCACAATCCTTATTTGGAATAATAAGGGGTTTTATTTATATTATTTTCATTTTTTTGTTCAAATTTACCAATAAAAATAATCATAAAATTTAAAGGTTAAATGATTTTTTAAGAAGGCTAATTTTCGCTCTGTTTGTTCATTAAAAAAATGATAACGATAATGATAACTATTCTTGAAATAAACCATAAATTAAATATTTAATTTAAAATTATATTAGCTTCGTGTTCTTTAAACACGTTATGATTTATTCTTAGGACTTGGCCTTCTTCAATTAATTATAAATCGCCGATTTCCAAGTAAAAATATAGGTCAATGAATTTGTAATCTCTTATAATCATTGGTTTCATTCTTTAATACCAGCACAAATTTCTTTCTTCCAATTAAAATATTTATTAGTTACACATTTCTATACAAGTATTTCAAAGCCTTATTCATTTGTCTCATTGATTGATAAGATTAATGGTTCGTTTTTTATTGGAAAGTCTGGATTTTTATTATAATTATACTCTATGATAATTTAAAATGACACATGAACCATTTTTATCATTCTAAGAAATTTTATTTCTAATTTAAGGATGTTGTACACTTTTTGGAATATGTATTAGACGGATTTTGACCTTTGATCATAATAGAAAAGTTGTTTCGCGAAAAGTTACGGGATTACTTAGAACCAACCATTTTTCAATTATTTGTACATATGATTTTATTAATAATAAACAACAATAACAGGTTTTTTATTTATTTTATGTTTCCTTCTATACTTTTTATTTTGTCAAGATAATCTATTACTTGCACTTAATGCGGGATATAGATCTCCGGGTATCGGTTGGGTAACTAAACTGGTAGATCAAGTTCTATTTTTATTCCTTCAAATTTTAATTTTTAGTTTACTAAAACGCCGAATACATATAAAATTCTTTATAGATTAAATTAACGAATCTAATTAAGATTTACCCTTACCCTTTTTCATGCTTGTCATTCATCGATTTCTTTTTGAAGTCAATAAAGCCAATATTTATTGCGTTCAATAATTCTAAATTTAATCAACGTTGTCACTTTTTTCAAGCATTTTTATTGTCCAATATAAGAAATCTATTTTAGCTACTAGCTCATTATTAGAAGGGGTGTTTATGTGTGAGTTGAAATCTGGAAATTAAATTATTTTAAAACTTTGTTTAAAGTGTATTTATTGACAAATTTTTTACATTACGAAAATATAAAAAAAAAAATCTCTGATCCTTTCATTTACGATTATTGAAATTAATGAAAATGTCACCAATAACAGAAATTATGAATCAATAATGAATCGCCGTCAGCATATTTACTTTGTATGATGTATGGTATCTGTCTGATGATCAAAATATTCATGCCATTAATTTTATTATGTCGCGTATCATCACAGTTTTGGAAATTATTTAGAATAAATTGAGACGTAGAATAATTGTAATTATAATAACAAAAGGTCAAGAAATTTGACCATAAAAATAACCACAGAAAATTTTTGTCATCAGATGTTTATTTTCTAAAATTAAACCGGTTTGTATGTTACATTGCATATTAATTAATTTTACACATAACGAATATGTAAAGTTCACCCAACAGTAATCAACAACTATCATTGTCATCGTAATCTTCTTTATAGAGTAAGGTTCGAATATTTTTCTTTGTTGAAATGCCAAAAACGTTCTATTTAAAAATAAGTGGAGCAAAACAAAATTGAATAACGAAGACCATTTTCGAAGAAAATGTAAAATTTGCCACAAATAATTCGAATAAAATAATTTCCCTATTGCAGGTGCACAAAATTTGTTTTCACGTGCCTCACAACCTTTTTTGAGCTTTTCACATGACACAAAATGTAATAAAATTTTCAAGGCATTTGTTTTTGAAAAAAATCTATAGTTGGCTCGGTCTAAAGACCTCCTAAATTTTGGGCAAATTTTAAAAGTATAGAAGTCATTTTCTGTCCTACC